TCCGTCATCTACGGTTATGCAATACTTGAGAAGTGAGCCTGCTCATATTAATGAGGACTGACCTGGTTGAAATTGTACCTCGACAAATTGATTATCTCCACGTGTTTGCAGTCTGTGGACACTTATCATACGAAAGAAGTGTAGAATAGATATCCATTTCTGATGATTACTGCCATTATCTCGTCGTACCTGACGCAAAAAAGTTATTTTTGTCCTTTCCGACCCCTAAAGAAATTATTATCCCAGAGCCAATAAAGACTATGCTCCTGCCGTTTGACTCCATTTTCATTATTATTTACCAACACACCGAAGACATTATTTGAATTGCTTTCTTTGCTTGCTTAGCACCGCCTTTGTCAAGCCCTTATCTGAGCTTTACTTAGTTTTGCCACTTCTACCGTCTTGTCGCTTCCATAATTACTTATTTCTGCGTTACACAACCTCACATAATTTTGAATTAGCAGTTTCTTGAATGCTTAGTGGGTGTTCGTGACACGTATGGACAAGGACGCATGGTTTTCGCACCCAAACTGAGTTTGACGGTTACAATCAAAATCTTCAGCTGCCTTTCCACTCTTGCGTTTTGCATCTTTCCACAAATTCTACAAAGCCTATCTAAATTCGCTGACATCAATATGATGCATCATAGTCTTGGTCATATATTGAAGTCATCGAGAATGCTTAGTCGAAAAGCGTCCCGTCTTTGCACCATTACATATAATCTCTAAAACGAGCGCTCCTATTGTTTCATTTTCGGGGTGTTGCTGTGTGATTCCACGCCTAATATTAGGTTACAAGTGTTTTCTGACGTCTTTCTATCCTTCTGTTGGACTCGTTTTATCAGCAGCCGCACCTCAGATGCAAGTCGACGTTCCACCACTCTTTTCGGTGTTGTGCCTTTGCTTCCACCGACGACTAAACAGCTTCGTCATCGGGTCGTCCCAACGTGTTGGTGGACGACCTCGTAGAAGTCTGTTGCAGAGGGGCATCCTGATGAAAATTTGGGATATCCACGTGTTGTCCTTCCACATGACGAGTTACATGGCCAGCTCGTCGTTGCTTCGAGTAATAGGCGGCAGTGAGTATATACTAAAATTGTCCGACACCAAACTATCGCACTTGGAAGATGGTCTCGAAAGAAGACCTCGCATATTCTTCTTTTCATCGCCATATGCATTACTGCTAGTTTATTTTCCTCAGCCTTACTGTAAGACCAGCATTCCGCGCCATAAATCATGGCAGGTAGGACGACGGAGTCTAATAGTTCATGGACAGTTCGTTATTCAGCAACAATGTTTTAATGCCATTGAAACTTGTCCATGTCGCCTTTCTTCTGCTGATCTCGCCGCTGATGTTGTCACTGGGGTCTAGCAGGTGCCCGAGGAACATGCAGCCACCGACATTTCCACTGTTTCACCGTCAGTAAAAATGGTAACCGCGGTTCAATGCTCGTTGCGCATCCCTTTCATCTGCACCGATAGCTCTTGACTCCTTCCGCAATTACACCATCCTGATTTGGAGTTCTGATGACTCTCCGGCGAAGATAACGACGTCGTCCCCAAAGAGCAGATTCGTGAAAGAAAGACGAAGAAATCTCCGCCTATGTCAGTGCCAGCCGTCAGAGTTCCACCGTTCAGAAGTTAAAGAGGGCCTCTAGTACCGTCATGAAAAGGTTGAGGTGGTTTCGCCTTAGTGTACTCTACTTTCGTTGTTGTTTTGACACGATTCCTTGAATAGCTTGATATCAGTTGTGGTATCAGTATTCAGTTCCTCGGTCAGATTGACATAGAAAAGGTTGATACCGCAGTCGTACAGGGTATTCATTACGTACAGCCTTCAGCTTGACAGAATCGCCACGAAAGTGACAGACTGGGAGTTGTTATTCTCTGCACTTCTCTGTTAACTTCTTCACGACGTGGCTGTGCTCTATGGTGAAGAACTCTGCTCAGAAACCAATGTTCTTTACTGCTGAGCAGTTAAAGGTTTTACGATTACGGTTGAAAGACGATTCGAGTAAGGATCTTGTGGAGATGAGACACGAGAATGATGGGTCGACAGTTATGGAGGTCTTCAGCATGACGTTTCTTGAATGGATTAATCGTCTAAGAGATATTTCATGCTTCTGACCTCTTCTTCGAAAGGACTTTGAGCAGGTTCCCTCCTCCTGACTTGAGATCTTTTAGTTTTATTCCATCCGTGTCAGGTCACCTGTCATTTCTAATATTCTTCTTCGTCACGAACGACGTCGGGAACGGTTTCGCGGTATTGCAAAACTTCGTGCACATCACTTTTATGTGGCAGCGGTGGCTCCTGTTGCTTCTGCGTCCTTAAGTGCTACCGGAATCCATTTTTTCCGCGGCCTTCAAGCTGTTCTTCTTTAATTAAATCTCTTGGCTTCATTCTCTTAAACACGTCGTAGTTCTCCCAATTTTTTTTCGGTATTTCTTTGCACTACCTTGGAGTTTACTAGTCGTACAATTGCCCATGAGCCTTCATTATGGTTCTTCTGGCCAACAGCTGCCTTGTTGCAGGGCTGATGAGTTGTTTCCATGCAGCTATTGCTGCCTAACTGTATGACCATGTGGTAGTTATGATGGAGTGGATGAGGTGCTTTAAGTCCATACTGATGCCTCTGCTCATCTCTGTTGCGAAGTTCATCTGAAGAAACCTGTCTGGGAAAGTCTTAGTATCGATTATCTGTCCAAGCCGTTGGTGTTTGAACCTTTCCAGTCCAACCTTCTTTAGCGTGATCTGTTGTGAATGTAAAGCTCAGTAATCTGTAGTCTGCCCCGTGAAGATGATGTTTTCTCCAACGACATAACCATATTTTATTGCCAGCGTTATTTCCGAAACCATGTAGTCGATTTGGTTAAAAATTGTTCCAGCAGGGTCCCTCCGTGTCTACTGTCGCTTCTCGGCCATTTCAGAAATGATATTCACTACGTGTAGCCAGTTACGCTCGGCAAACGCTACGAGGTAGGAGCTGCGTCCTTTTCGTTCTCCACTTCCAAATCGGCCGTTATTTAATTACGTACCATGGCATTGAAATTTCCTTGGACGACTGTGTATGTGGACGTATTTTGAATTGTGTTTTCCACTTCTTCGTAGAACAGCTGAACTTCTTAATCGTCCGCTTGCTGTGTTGGGCTGTAAGTTTACAAGATCTTTAGTGATCTTCTCTTCTTCACTCAGAGAATTAGAACGGCAATACGAGGTGGTATGAGGTCACAACTGAGTATTTATGCTACCTTTCTTATGGCTACACCTCGTGTTAAATCAATAAACTATCCAACAGATCATTGATTTTTCTACCTTCTTAAGGTTAGTTGCAATGAAGCCTGGTGAGACGGATTTCTTTCCGAGAATCAGCAGCTACGAAAAGCACTTAGAACCTCATCTCTTAAGTGCAAATGCAAACGACTTCCACCTGTGTCAGTGCAACTCAGAGCTGATTTTCAGATTTTTTCAGTCAGTGTTCAACATGTCATCGAACTGCGCACTGTTCTGTTTTCGTAACCTAATCACCCACTATAGCCCAAAGATGATCATGGTTATATTCTTGAATATTACTTTCGAAAGTTCATCATAATAGAAACGAGTGAAAGTTATTGAAAGTAATGTCTAACAGTGACTACTGTGACATATTGTGTTGATAGCTGATGAATGGCGTGGCGTTGTGATGTTAGAGCATTCATACCACTGCGCAAGTGCAGGCAAACGTTGGGTCATGGTCTGGGATCATGCGTTGTACGTGAAGCGGAAGTAAATGTCGTCAGCATGCTGAGTTAGGCATGACACAGGGCCGATGAGGAATAGCTACATCTTTATTAAGTTCGGTTTAATTACTATTGGCTGATTGAGCAAATTTAGCACGACCAAGAGCGTGCAGT